TGATTTTAAAGTAAACATTTATAAAATATTTATATAATTTAAATTAGTTTTAAAGTCTTTTACTTATTTTATATTATATTATATAAATATATATGTATATATATAAAATTAAATAAATTTATATATTTGTTTGCAATGATGACTGGAAAATCTTTATTTATTTAGATAAAAGGATCAATGAAAGTATTAATGATTGGTATTTGACATTGAAAAATACAATTGACATTGAAAAATACATCATACAATATATTGTAAATGTTGCGTGGATTTCAATGTTAAACTGTTTTGCTGCAAGAAAGCTTTAGCCAAAAAGATATAGATTAGTTGATACCATCAGAAAGTTAAAGAAACAGCGAACAACTATTATTATAATAGTTAGGTGTAGTCTTTTTTCAACCTGTGGCAAATTTCCTTATAATACAGTGAATGCATCTGGAATTCCTAAAGAAACAATACTAATAAGGGAAAACATAATGCTGAAAAAAGTAAACAAAGTTTTAAAAAGGAAAATGGAATCTATCTATTTAAAAATTGAATCTATGTTGGAATTAAAAATAGATTATTTTACACATCTAATAGATTTTAAAGATATGCAATATTGAAGGTATGCAATATAGAAGAATCATTAAAGGTAAAAGTGCTCCTTTATCAACTAAATTTTTATCGCATAATCTTAGGTGTTGAATGTGCCAAAAAACTTTTTTGTAAAAAAAAAATAGAAGAAAAGAAAACGAAAAACTTGTCTTCGGAGGAATTATATCAAAATCTTCTTATTGTAAAAAAAAGAATTGATGGAAAAAATTCAGGATGCAAGACTAAAGAAATTAATAGAACACAAAAAAATATTCCTTATCAAAATTTATTAACAATCCATCTGATTTTGTAGGTTTTTTATACAACATGGTGTTAGAAAAAAAGATTCTCTTGAAGTATCTTGGAAATAGCACAAGTAGCACAATTAAGAATAACACAAATAGCACATGGAAATAGCACAAATAGCACAAATGATCAATCAAATGCTAACGAACCATATACCTTGTTAAGTATGATAATGAACCTGATGAAGTATGGTCATTTCCTTTACTAAATGATTTTAAAAAAGGTGGTAATATTCTTTTTAGCTTAGATCATGAGGTAATATTATTTATTAAAACTTTAGAATTATGTTGTAGTATGTATTTATCTTGTTTCTTTTGTTATTATGTTCCAATTATATGTTTTTACTGCATTTGAGTACAGTGGTTTTTATCTTTATAAATGGTATGAATCATATCTGATATATTTATATGTACCAATTTTGTTTAATTTAAAGATATTTTTATAATATATATCAATATTTTTATCTTTATGCTTAACTGGACATTATTATAAATATTAAAATTAAATTAACATAAAAAAATCTTTACATGAACTGCCTATCAAATAAAGTAAGGAATCCAGAAATGGAGGGCTAACTATAGGCTGAGTTACTATTACTTATAAATAAACTGCCTATCAAATAAACGAAACAATCCAAAAATGGAGGGCTGACCTTTGACAAAATAACAGCTCACTGATGGAGTGCAGAGTCCTATGGCTTACCTTCTCGTTGGTGCACTTCGTTAAGTAAGTTAGTAAGTAAACAATTTCGTCTAACTTATGACTATATGTACCTATATATATATATATATATATATATATATATATATATATATATATATATATATATATATATATATATATATATATATATATATATATATATATATATATATATATATATATATATATATATATATATATATATATATATATATATATATATATATATATATATATTTATATATATAGTATATATATATATATATATATATATATATATATATATATATATATATATATATATAATTTTTTTAAAATTATAATAAAAACTTAAAGAAACATTCAAAGCTGCTCGCTATCCTTTTTTAACAGTAGGTTACTCTTATTTTAGGGTAGTTTAACCCCTTAGAGTCTAAATAACAGACTCTAAGCTGTTAAACTTCTTTTTGAACCTATGATTAAACTAAAATTATTAAAAATTGTTGACTAATTTTTTTCTTTTGTGTGAGAATAAACTTTAGATTCATTCATATATTGTACGTATTTCAACGTTTTCACCTGTTTAGTTTGGGGCCACTTTTTTCACTTGATATTTTATGAACCAGAATCATGCATTGAATATGCATAGAACATTTTAAAAGTAACTTTTAATAGGTTTATAAAACCTTTTAACAAAAAAGGTTGGTTCATTATCTAAGTCAAATAATAAAAAAAAGTACCCATGAAAATTTCAGGTTTGCATATGGTCCCAATCTAAAAGTTTTGAGATAAATACAAAAAATAAAGAAAAGGTTTGTTAAATTACAAAAGAAGCATGACCCAATTAAATACTTCCACTTAACTGTAAAGCACATAATAAATAAGAAGCTGTAGAAATATTAATGCCTAGAAGTTTGAACAAGTTGTTTAAAAATCCGTTGCTATGGCGTTGTTAAGGACCTCGAAAACCTATTATGGCCAAAGAACACACATTTATACATATTTATTTATTTGATCAAAAAAAATATATCGTAAATATATTATTATATAATTGATTTTTTCTAAAAAAGATTTCAAAATTGGTGGAGACCTTGAAGAATGTTCAAATAAAAGTTAATTTAAATTAATATTTCTTCTCAAAGTTTTGTTACGCTTAACGTTAAATTAAAACATTTAAAAATTTAAGTTATGTTAAAAAAAAGTTCAAGTTAAGTTATGTTAAAAAAAACATATTTCACTGTTAAAAAAATTTATATTTATAAATTGTTAATAAATTACTAATAAAATCTTATTAAAAGTTTGTTAACGCGCAAGAAAAAAAAAACAATAAATTTTTTTTTTTCGGTGCAAAAAAATTAACGATATACTTTACGAAAACGATATACTTAAAGAAATTATTTCCCAAAAAGTCTATGAATTGAAAATGTTAAAATACGTGTATCATTGGAACTAAATAAGCTACAGAAGTGGTTGAAACCTTTTTGGAAATGAAATATATTAAGGAATCTAATGTAATTAAAATAAAAAATATTTACATTTGCTTAAAAAGTTGCCTAAATTCCCTACTTAAGCGACATTTCAATCCCAGTGAAGAAAAAGTGTTTAGTAGAATTCTATTAAGATCCTTTTTACGCTCAAATCTTTGATGTCACTTTGACGCCTGCTGCTGTATGATATAAAAAATAAATGTAAACCCTGTAAAAAAATTTTAAATTATCAACTATCTAAACTGAAACATTTTATTAAATAAATAAACAGAGCTAAATGTACAAACGAAAATAATAGATTTTATAAAACTTTGAAATATATTTCAGGAGCGGATCCAAAATATCTAGGAAAGAAGGGGGTGATTTTTTGATTCAGTGAATCCAGACTAGAGTAGAGAAAGTGGGGGAGGTTGCAATTTTCAGGTTTAAATCATGAAACTTTTTACAGTTATTTTTTTTTTTTTAGAATATTAGTCTTACACTGTTTTAATCTATGTTGCTATGAAATAACGTCATATTCATATCGCAGCTCTCTGATTTTTTACTAAACAATTTTATTAACTTCGTATCTTTAAACAGTGTCCTTAATTTACTCTAATTTTCAAACAACCCAGTAAGCACAAGACGCATTTTAGACACTTATAGACGTCTAAAACTAGTCTAGGTAAAGACGCACTTTTATAGACGTTTTGAAGACATCTTTTAGACGTCTTTTATAAATGCGTTTTTAAAATGAAGTTTAAAAGGTGTCTTTTTAAAAGATAATAAGACGTCTAGAAGACGTCAATTTTTAAGACATCTTCTAGACGTCTTTTATAAAGGCGTTTTTAAAATGACGTTTAAAATGCGTCTTTTTAAAGTTTAAAAAGACGTTTAAAAGACGCATAATAAATAGTCTAAAAGACGCATTAAAAGACGTCTAGATCAAGGCTAAAAGACGTCTTTTCTGAGACCTGTTTATAAATATGTCATTATGACTTCTTTTTGACGGCTTTGTCATTACGCGTTATGTAGATGTCGTATATTCAAAGTAAAAACATAGTTTTTATTATTTTCAATAATTTGTTTAAGTTTTAAGTGTAAATTACTTTAAATTAAATTACTTTTTTACACAATTGCTAAAATTGTTGTCACAGGAATCACTAAAATAATTGCTATAATATTAATATATCTTTTTTTTATTAATAATTATTTTGCTTTTTTAATAGATAGTTGACTGATCATGATAATAAGTGAAAATGGCAAGAATAATATATAAGTTAAATATCAGTATTTTTAGTTTTTATACACCCACAAGCCATATAATAAGTCAAGTATGTGGTCAAAAATTAGCTATCACTACATAAGTTAAATTTCATTATAACTAAAAATAAGTTTTAAATGTTTTAAACACTGTTTTAATATATATATTTGTTGTTTTTTATTATTTTCATCTTTGATGCATCAACCGTTGGTGGTGATTACAGCAATATTATTTTGATTGCTGGTTCCTATGTATATCTTGTATATACGAAATTATAACAATATATGATTTTATAAATACAATGAATATATACCACATACTACGCGAAAATGTTACGTCATGTACTTAAATTCATTTTGAAAAAAACGTCTAAAACGCGTTTTTATAAAGACGTCTTCATTTAGACGTCTTTTAGCCTTATGATCTAGACGTCTACAAGTGCGCCTTTTAGACCTTCTTAAAGACATCTTTGAAACGTCTTTTAAACGTCTTTGTGCTTACTGGGAACATGCTTTGCTAAATATATAAATTTACAAAAAAAAATATTTTTAAAATATCTAAGGAGGGGGGAGGGGTATAATCAATTAAATCGCCCCCCTGTCTATGAATTTTTAGATTTAATGTACTACTTTTAATATGAAATATCAAATTAAAAAAGTCTATTTGATACTTTTATGCGATTAGCATATTTAAAAAAAAACAATTCAAACCTATTAGAATTGCAGCAACCTGTGCAGTTGTACCATCACCAACTATAGTGTGTCCATTCAAGATGATAGTATTTTCATCATTTAAAAGTTGTGGCATACTTTTGTTTAACTGACGATGAAAGTTTGCATTAGACTGAGAGTCTATCATTAGAAAAACAATGTCTAATCCTAAACCTTTAACATCTGAAAGAAAAATATATTATATATAAATATATATATATATATATATATATATATATATATATATATATATATATATATATATATATATATATATATATATATATATATATATATGCATAGGTGTATAGATGTGTGTATATTTAACTCACCTGTTCTCTTTAATGCATTTTCTCTCAATTTTCTTTGGGTATGATCACTTACGTGAGCATGGAATTCCGAATGATTAAGACCTTCAACTTTGTACTCAACTTGGATGAAATCATCTTCTAATTTATGCTTGAATATTCCTTTATATATATATATATATATATATATATATATATATATATATATATATATATATATATATATATATATATATATATATATATAAATATATGTATATATATATATATTTATACATATATATATATATATATATTTATTATATATATTTACATATATATATGTATATATACAAATAAAAACTGACAAGAGCGTCAAAAACTGACAACTACTACCTATAGGTAGTAGCGCTCTTGTCAGTTTTTTTTTGATTGATATAAAAACATATATATTTAGTTAAAATTTCTACAACTGATTGTATACAATCAGGTGTAGAAATTTTAACTAAATAAATAAAATAAATGTCGGACTTTAAAACGACGCACCCTTGACTCAGTTAAAATAAAAAATATTTTCGTTTAACTGCTGAAAAATTATTTTTGATTAGCTAAATAATATAGTTAGACTTAAATGCGTTTTCAAGTTCACTTTCTTACAACAACTGAAAGCAAAACGATTGATAAATAAATAATAAACGAAATTCGGGTGCAATATTTTCTAAAACATCGAGACTCCGATGTTTTAGAAATTATTGATGACCACATTGAGTTAAAAAAATGAGTTGCTGGTCTCTCGTTATGAAAGTCCTGCTTCAAGAACTTTTTTTGTAAGTTTTATAAACAGTTTTAATTCATTTTATAAACGCTAGTACGATTGTGTAACAGTAGGTATTCATCTTTGCTATAATCAAGAGGTTTAATAAATAAATATTTATTTTTTTATTTTAGATACATTTTAACTTAATTTAGAGCTGGTAAATACCACTGCATATGTTATGTCGTGACTTAACATATGTAATTTTTTAATGTCAAAAAAAAATGTGGATGGTGTAGGAAATTTCATTGAGAAAAAGATATGTTAAGTTCTGTGTAATTCCAATTTTGATTTATGAATGCACATTTAAAATGCTAACTGTTACTGGTATACTAGGAAGATTTTTGATAATGCGTAAACCAGATTTTTGATAATGCGTAAACCGCTATGTTTATAATATTCGTGTTACATATCGATCCAAAATATGTGTTTATAAATTTATTAAATTTATCAGTAATCTTTAACTTAATCTTAATGTAAACTTTTATTTTCTGCTGATGAGATTAAGTTTAAAAAATATTTGATAGAAATTGTTACTTTCCTTTGATAGAAACTGTTACTTTCTGTTAATTTCCACTGCAAAAAACTTGATCATTTAATTTTTTTTAATTATCGTAGCATAAACAAGTATATTGCGCCAACATTTATTCTCTAAATTCCCACTAAATGAAAACTCTTTATATAAGTTTATAACTTTATATATAGTTTTATAAAAGTATAATTTAAGTAGCATAGTATAAAAGTTTATAAATATATTTAAATAATTATAAAAGTATAAAAAATAAGACGAGGTCTTTTATAACTATATCTTATTTATAAATTTCAAGATCTATATAGCTCTTATTACTTATGTAAAGTTAAAAAGTTATAAAGTAATTTTTATATTTTTATAATCTTTTCTTTCACTTAACATGAACTCTGGTATGGTATTGTGGTTTAACCTCCTCCAGCTAATTGCATATAGACAGGGGCGGATCTAGGGGGTATCCTGTGTTGCCCAGGATTCACCCATAATATTCTAAGAAATTAGAAAAATTCCGTTTCATATTCTAAAAAATACTAAACTTAAATTTACAGTATACTAATATGTATATATAAGTTCTATATAAAAAAAAAACATTGCCTTCATAGAAAAACATACACGGCTGTAACAATGTTTCAGACTTAGCTCTCCTCCGTCATGTTCAAAACGCCGCTATTAAATCAGGATTCTTTTTTTAAAGTAAACGGTACCGAAAGAACCCTTATAATCAATCGTTATTGGAATGTATTTATTTTGCTTGCCGTAATAAAGGCCAAAAAAATCCCTATTGTTTCAGGATTCATTTGACCCGAATTTCCGGTAGACAACAAAAAAAGTTGCAGGAACGATCGATCAAAAGGGTTCTCTCGGTTCCGTTTATATATAAAAATTAATCCTTAATTATTTTAATAACGCCTTAATTATTCGCATAAAGCCTTAAGTATTCGAATAAATTGAAGTTTATCAAAAATTAGCTAATAAGTAGTTTTTATTACAAATTTTATTTTTGTTTACAATTATAGATTTGTTGCTATCCAATGCCATTAAAGCCAAGCATTTGCCTAATATTACAACTTAAAAAGCAAAGCTTTTTAAGTTGTAATATTTTTAAGTTGTAATATATAAGCTTCGTAATAATCTTAAAGAATTAAATTCAAACTTTCCTGTTGTAAACAAAGATCTTCTTTCTTTAAGAAATTCTGAAATAGAAGCTTTTATTCCTATGCAAAAAGAATATGAAGACTATATTATTTTAAAGTTTAAACACGTTTTTTTTTTTTAATGTTTTATTATGTTTATAAAACAATAATTCTTGACAAATAATGTTTAGTTAAATATGTTTGTTTTAGTTATATTTAGTATATATATATGTTATGACTTAACAGGTCAATGGAGAGTGGTAACTGTCTTTACAACTCTGCTGCTTTATTAAAAAATTCATCAGATAAAACACATGAAATTCTTCGACTATTAACTTCTGTTGAGTTGTTTGAGAAAGCAATCTTTTATTCGAGATACCCAATAATCTTAAACCAAGTGGAATCTAAAAGTTTTTCATCGCTCTCTAGTGTTTTCATGGCATGTGTTTCATTTGAGAGTTCTGATTCTTTTACAGAATTAAATGATATAAATATTGCTGAACTTTTAAAAAAAGAAGCCTATAACAATTGCAGAAACAATAAATTTGCTTCTTTTCTTTGTTTAATTGCATTATCTACAGTGTTAAATAAACAAATTCGGTCTATTTATCCTGAATTCGGACTTGAAAAATATAAAAAGTTATTTAATGTATGTATATACCCACGTGGTGATCATAAAACAAATAAAGAAATTCCGAGTATTTTATGGTATAACACTGATTGTCGCTCTATTTCCAAGGATAAAGATATGTGGTCACCAAATCATTTTGTCCCTATTGTGAAAAGAGAAGTTTTATGCTTAAAGAAATTTGTCAAAAGTGATTTAAAAAGAGGATTGTGTTCAGTTTTGCCAAGTGTTTTATCGCATTCTTCTGTTAACACTAAGGTTCTTAATTTATCTTGTCAACCTCCTAAAAATCTATTTTACAATCTACAAAAATCTATTTTACAATCTACAAAAAAAAAAATCATTAGTTCAATCTCACATAAAGTTTGGCATAAGTAATGAAAATAAAATTATAGATGTAAATATTGATATTACTCCTAATCCAATCTTACTTAATTGTATTCCTTGTTCATCGGATCAGTCTTTCAGCCTTCCTTTTTATGACATTTTTACTTACTATGAGCGCGGTAGACAACTATCTGCTGGCAAAGATGATTCAATGTTATTAGATCTAGTTAATAAAATATTTATTCCTAACTCATCTTTTGTTTTTCCTATTTCTGGTGAAAAAAAAAAACGATCATTTTTACATAAATGGCTACTTGAATATTCCTAGTTAGCTTACTCACAGATTGAAGATGGAGCATACTGCCTTCCATGTACACTGTTGGGAAGCAGAATTCCAAGCAATACCTTAATAATCAACTTCATTCGAAAACCTTTTAAAATATGGGGTAATGCAATTCGTGCTTACATGGATCACAATAATAATTGTCGACTTCATCAAATGTCAATGCATTGTCTTAACATGCTGCAATCTAGATCTAATTCAAAAAAAAATCTGATTGAAGTTGACATCGATAATCAGAGAAAAAAACTTATTATAAGTAATCGAAATAAATTAATTCCAATTATAAAGACAATTATTTTTCTTGGCCGCAATGATATTGCTTTTCGAGGTCATCGTGATGACAGTAAGTATCAACCAGAGATCGGAGAAACATGTAAAAACAACATTGGTATAGGTAACTTTGTAGAGCTTTTAAATTTTCGCATTGAAGCAGGTGATAAAGTTCTTGAGCGCCATATTCGTTCTGCTCCTAAAAATGCAACCTATATATCTAAAACCACACAAAACGAACTTATTGAATGCTGTGGAAAAACAATCGAAGAAGTTCTAATTAATAAAATTAAAAATTCAGGTTATTTTTCTATCTTGTGTGATGGAGCCTCTGATTGTTCTAATGTTGAACAGCTTTCTCTAGTTATAAGATACATTGACTGTGATAATGTTATTTGTGAAGATTTTCTACGGTTCATTGAATGTAAATCTGGTACAACTGGTCTTAGTCTTGCGCAAAACATAGTTTCTGCAATTGATGATCTTGGTCTTGATATCCAAAAATGTAGAGGTCAAGGATATGATGGTGGTGGGGCAATGTCTGGTAAATTAAAAGGTGTTTCGTTAAGAGTTAAATTTATCAATTCAAAGGCTATTTTTGTTCACTGTGCATGCCATAAACTTAATTTAGTTGTAAGTAAATCATGCAATGTTCAGAGTGTTAGAAATGTTCTTGATCAAATCAAAGATATATCATATTTTTTTAACTTATCACCTAAACGTGCCAGCTGTCTTAATAAATTCATTTTTCCTGGTCAAGCAAAATTAATCGATACATATCGAGCTAGATGGGTTCAGAAACTTAAAGGTCTGGATGTTTTTTTTGATAACTACATTTCTGTTTTTCATTCAATGGAAGAAATGGCATACAATGAAGTTAAGAGTTATAATATTGATACTTCTTCAAAAGCTTCATGTTTTTTAAATCTTATGACTAATTTTTCTTTTATTGTAAGTTTAGTTTTAACCAAACAAATAATGGACTATTTCTATGCTATCACTGTTGTTCTCCAAACTAAAGTGTTTGATATATCACAACAGTGTAATGAAATAAATTGTTTAAAAACTCAAATTTTAGATTTTAAAAAAAAAATTGATTTCTATCATAACGAATGGTACTTAATTGCTCTTGATCTAGC